CGTACATACAATTATATTACGATAATGAGACTACATGTTTTTCCTAGGGTCATTATTTTTGAAAACCTTCGTACGCTCTTTACATTTTTATCTTTTATTTTTCTCAATCCGTTTTAAAGGGCCAATTATCTTCTGTCGAACGTATACACCCTTGAAACGTACACGCATCGGACGAGGAGAAGATGACGAACAGAAGACGAGAGGATCTTTCGTCCGGTCGAACCGTCTTAGTAACGGGCATACCGTTGTCATGCTATTGGTACAGCAAGCAGTACAGTGTACGCATTATAACCTTTGACCTGCGCACCACTCAAGCGCGTTCATCCGCTTTCACCACCATTACCACCGTCTTTCGCAGCCGTAATTCAATCCGCTCGTTTCCGTATAGAGATAACTGCGAGCACCGCAGATACTGCTAATTAAACGAAGCGGCGTCGCACGTTCCCGCACGGACGAGGGTTGAAACCTCAATTACGAGTGTCTCGGTGACGGAGGAAGAACTCACTTGCGAGTGGTCGTAATGGTGAGAGAGAGAATGTGGCGTAAGTCGAATCGCAAACACCTCTGGGTGACGATAATATCGAGTCGAACGGGCCGGGGTGAAAAATTGTCAGCGCCCCATCTGAAGCCGCGCTAGTAATTTCGAAATCCCGGGCTCGTGCGTGTTAAATTATACGCGAACGCATCGCGTGTCGGGGGTGGCGCGCGTACACACCATTGCGGTATACCTATATAATCTACCTGTAACCGCACGTAACCTCACGTAACCGCATGTAACCCGTACGTTGCGCCGCATCCGTTTAATCAGCTAAGTAGTCATTGGTCGAGATCGTTACGATGTGTCGCTATATTATTTCACGCCCCATTTTACCGACGGCCATGTGCGCATGCATCTACATAACAAACTCGTCCGGTTGTTACCACATCGCGGACTACGACCACTCTCGCTTGGTTGAAAATGTCATCGCATCTTTTCGTCGTGGTGCCAGATCGCGATCACACCGATCGTTTCTATTCTCGTCCTTCTTTTTAATCGAAAACCAAACGTACTGAAAGCACTCGTTCGAAAATTACCGCTTCACGTCATTTTTTTTCCCGTTGTTGCTATCTCTGAAGGTGATGAGCGCCCGTTAAAGGCTGCCAACTCAAAGGCGTGTTTGACTTAACTCTAGAGGGAAAGGGTAGATAGAAGATAAATAAAAGCCCACTAAAAAGAAGGGTGGGGCTATATTTATTTTACAACCCCTTCCCAAAAAGATCCTAGATTGTTTTCTGAGAGTTGATAAAAAACAATTAATGCATCTAATATAAACGTTATGGTCTTTGACACATAAATCAATATTAAAAAATATATTAGGGATTAAAAAACATTATTTATTTAATATAATAATCATCAATGTAATGTAGCCAAATCATAAGTTCTATGTTTCTATGTAATTTTTGTAATTTCATCTTAGTAAATATATAGCAAATACCAACACAAACTCATCGATTGATGGAGGTGTCATCCGTATCACCCCTCTCCCTTAAATCACTATTGAGCCAACTAATGTGTGGGTTAAGGGTTAAGGTTTATGTTTTTAAATAAGTATTTATATGCATTTTATTTCAACACTGCCGATGTACAACGTCATCTCTAATGATTGGAGATACATAGAAATATAAAGAGTGAAAGAGAGACAGAGAGAGAGATAGAGAGAGAGAGAGAGAGTGAGAGAGAGAGAGAGAGAGAAAGTGTATAGAGAGAAATAATCTTTGATTTTGCGTATTTCTAAGACTCTATTTTGTATTGAATCCTTTAGACGAAAAACACCAATGCATGTAACGTATAAATATATGAAACTATATGGTGTGGCAAGATGTCAGAACGGCGTGGCAGATGGGGTTAATAATAGTGCTTTATGCATCACCAGTTGCTTCACTAATTATTACTACGATTCCACTCCCTTTGATCGAAAACAACGGCTGCTGTTGCGCTTCGTCATCATATGTATTATACTATATCAAACGCTTGGGAAATCTCTTAAATGTATCTACATTCTTTCCATCCACCCTGGTTATCCCTGCTTATGAAAAGTGACGTATCCGTAATACGTTTTGATACATAATATATATTACTGTTGTCACGCCATGATGACATGGCAATAATAGTCACTGTCGAAACTTGTTCGCATTTTCGAAGAATAAGATTTTTTCATACCAATTAGGGGATGTTCATTTTAGTTCGACTCTCTCATGATCACTAGCTAGTTTCAGAAAAATTCTTTGATCTGTTGTCGTTAGAAATCCGAAGGCTATATGTACGCAAGATTTCTTAAATTATTAAATACTTAACTCTCCAGAAGGATTTTATTTCTATTTTCGGTGAGGAAACTAACGGCCTTCAAGACCTTTATTCATCCTCTGAGTTAGTGCTGACTTTCGCTTCGAAGTCTGCACATGACGTACCAAATTCAGCTGTAGGGAAGGCAAATGAGTGTTCTTGCAGATGCGCTATTCGATTGAAGAGAACCTCAATATAAATCAATTAATCATAAGCCTTATTTGAAAATCTAGGAAATTATGAAATTAGAAAATTATGACGGTGCAATTATGCAAAATTAATTAATTTAGGTCTAAAGAGGTAGATGAATAAATTTAAAATACATTAACAGCTAAAAAATGAGATAATTCGATTTGATAATGGTGTAATAATTTGCATCGAGCATCAGAATTAGACTAAGTACACGTTTTATAGTTATTATTAGGGAGTGGATTTATATGCAAATGCATATATGTACTCGTATTGGAATAAGCTTTTTGAAATTTGATGAGCATTGTTGTCCCCGATTTAGATCTTTCTTATTAAAATAACACTAATTTTATTTTGCATATTTTGCATATTTCAACGTTTTTGCCTATTAAATGCATATTCAATGCATATTTGTAGTTTTTTAGTGCGTATTATTATTAATAGCACATGTATTCGTTTTCGACGTATTTTTACGTTCACAGCCACATAATATCGATAAAATTGCGACCGGTGGTTATTTCCCAAAATAAGATTACATACTTATATCTCATATTATAGTTAAATACAACATAAATATATATACCATGTGTATACCAATTTAAGGAACACTGAATTTGTCGGCTGGATTGTGGTGGAATAAATCGAATTTTTTTTTACAAACTAGTGGTATATAAATACAAATTTTCAGATAAATTTCAAATCTTTAATCCTCTCGAAACGCGCATACGCAATGCAACTAATTTTTTTTGAATAGCAACTGGTATTTTTGATATCAAATTCGGACAGACTGTATTTTATTAAGTCATTTTGACCAATTAACCATGACTCTAAAACCAAAATTGACTGATTGAGAGCCATTTAAATTTTAATAAATAACATATTTTTACAATTCATTATAAAATGCATAAAACCATTTATAATTATTTGTTATTGGTTACTTTTTGAATATTTTTACGTATTTTTTTTTTTATACGTTTTATTATAAAGATTAACATAATGTCGATGTATAATTATTCAATTAAAATTGATTACATGGTTTTGTGCATTTTATAATGAATTGTAAAAATGTATTATTTATTAAAATTTAAATGGTTCTCATTCAGTCAATTTTGATTTTAGAGCCACGGTTAATTGGTCAAAATGACTTAAAAAAATTCATTCTATCTGAATTTAGTATCAAAAATACCCGTTGCTATTAAAAAAAAAATAAGTTGCATTGCGCATGCGTGTACTGAGAGGGTTAAAAATTTGAAATGTATCTGAAAATGTGTCTTTATATACCACTAGCTTTTATAAAAAAATAAAAAATTCGATTTATTCCAACATAATCCAGCCAAGAAATTTAGTGTTCCCTAAATTGGTGAACACACGATGTATAGATAAATAATATAGAATTCAAGTAACGACGACAAAATATTTCAAAAGCTTTTTTTATACTATTTTTAGTACCGTATTAAATTAATACTTATTTTTACATTTATAATAGATTTAAAATATTTGTACATAATTTTAAATAACATTTTAAGTGAATATTTAAGTACATATTTAAAAATAAATACATATTATATAGCATATTTTGAGGATTTTTTTGCACATTTAAATCCGGTTCCTAGTTATTATTTACTGTTGAATCAAAATCATCATAATGAGTCTACATTTTCGTCTTACTGATATATACAATGTTAGCATTAAGAACAAAATGATAAATAAATATAGGACAGTACATTTTTAATTATTTTCCTTCCGAGTACACAAGTGTAACACGCATCGACGTTTTTAGTTTTTTTTTTCTATTCCGTTGTAACATATCTATGGATCAACGAAATCGATGTTAAAACACTCACACAACCTTGTTGTTTCTTAACTTGAAGTGGCTTAAATTCTCTCTCTCTCTCTCTCTCTTTCTCTCGCCTCCCTCCCCTACACTAACTATACATTCTGACCAGAAACATACAATTTAGGATTCGAAACTCGGTTGGACCGACCCTGGACAAGGCAATCGAACCATACGAAAATAACGCTTCGAACGCTGTAACGTCGTTACACATTATGTCCGACTCTCAGTCCCGAGCAAATAATCGCTTTTCGGCGTGGTCGTTGCGTACGCTTCGACTTTTATCGTTTTGCAGGGCTGGTTTATCATGGTCGTGTTTCGTTCGGCCTGTCATGTTCATGGATCTTGAGTTCACGATCGTTTCGTAGATGAAAAGATTCTCCAACTATGTTATGTAACGCGAGACCTCCCGCATGATTACGAAGATTTATATGGTGTATATGGTTTATGATTTACTACCCGATGTTCACTAAAAATACAAAACGAGTGCGAATGTTCATGAAAACATTTATTTATTTATTTATTTTTGCATGCTGATATTTATTTAGTATAAATTGCAAATAAAATTACGATGATTGTACGATGTATGTACAGCGTACAGTAAAAACAGAATTTTCGCGGACTATGAGCTAACAAGAATTTGTTTTTTTTCAGGTTATTAAGCGATACATTTGAAGATAAACACAAAAGTCTATTTTTCTTGAGGTAAGTGTTTTTATTTTTATTTTTAAACTTTAAGTTCATACATTTATATACAGTTAAGTGGATTAGTAAATAAGTTGAGAGTATAGGTATTATTTATCTTAAGGAATAATAAAAAGGATGTTAAATATTTAAAGAAATAAATCCATTGATGATACCTGTTGATACTTATGTTATACACTTGCAACAATGATATTAAGTTAATTATTTTTTTTCTTAAATCTTTTTTTTTTCGAAGAAAAATATAAGATATAATTTTATTTATTTATTTTCATTTTTATCTAAATATTTTTGTATTATTTATTGAATTTCAAATATAATACAATATTTATATTTGAAAAACGCAAAGCCATTCTTGTCAGACGTACACCATTTTTTTTTGTTTTTAATAAAAATTATTTGGAATCTGTTGTCCGAAGCGCAAACTTAGTTGGTTTTCACAATTGATCGAGATACTATTGAAACTTTCTGGGCTTTGTTACTACTTTGAAAAATATTTTTCAAGTAGTAAATAATGCATATATTTTTACAAAATCTGAATCTCTTGTTCCACTCAAAATCTAAAGTGATAGCAACGACGGCAATAAGACGGTAACGACTGTTATTATAATAGTAACATCAACAACATGATATAAATGTATATTGTAACGCTATGATAGACTATTGTTGTCTGCCGAACTCGTTTTTCGGCATTGTTATGTCAATATTCAATGAAATACGGAAATATTTATTTGGTACGGGTTTTAAGAGAAATAGTTATGAATTTCATCCCGTATTTTTTCAGAGCTGATCTAAATGTATTGCAAAGTGTCACGTGTCCCATAAAGTAAAATGTGTTGTTTTTGAATAAGCGTAAGGATATATATATCATGTACTCGCATACGTATTAGCGTTCTGTTAAGTAATTCGAGTGTTCATCGAATACGCATGCAGTTATAACGTAATTTGAGTATAATGCATTCAAATCGGGATTTCAGAAATATACGTGCATATAGTGTACGAGTTTTTTTTTACATAATTTATGTTGACAATTTTATGCATTACGGGGTCGTATATAGTTATTTTATTTTATTTTATACACCGAGTCATATTATTAGTTATAATAAAAATCAATATTTAATACACTTGCTCGTAATAAGTAGATTATACAGCCTAATCCTATACATATCCGAAATATTAGTTTACACATTATTATTATTATTATTTTCAATATTTTTTTAACATTAATTATGCTATCGGATCAGAGTTAGCGCTTTGTTCGTTGTCATGATAATTCTTAACCTTAAAATGATATCTTCCTACCACCCCTCACTCGATATGTCATGCAAGTTGATGTATGCAAACCTTTATCGATCGCATTGACACGTTCACATAGCTCTAGAGTAAATCATTAGATTACGATTTGCAGTCTGTGTAGTTTGTCGATTGGTCTCCGAAAATCGTACATTGTATGTCGTATATCCCTAAAGTTCGCTATGTATAATGCGGCAAATATTTTGCGCTCCCGTCATCGAGTCCGCGATCATTACGAAATATGTACGTAGAGCACGGAAAACACTCGAGGGAGCACCGAGATCGAGGACAAGGTAGTTAATAACCTGAGATTTCGTTGAAACTAACGGATCACTGCGCTTGGAAACGTTCGTGTATATCGACTTAATTGTACGAACGTCATGAAATTATTCGCCGCTCAGCCGGTGAACTAATAACTTGTGATCGTTCTCATTACCGCTGTCTCAACGTCTGCGAGATGAATTATGACGAGCGTAAGAGCTCGTAGATGACATTTACCATTGAAATCATGGATAGTGTGCAAAGACGATTCGACGTGGTGCGATGACGAAAAAATAAAAAGCCTTCGGTAGGCACGCATTAGTAGTGTAATTCGTAGACGTTCGCACAAGTTTTGACTTTAGACGTATAATATTGAATTTGTCTAATGAACCGGTCGGCTATATTTCTCTAATTTATTTTCCGATGGGAATTTCAATTTATCTTACCTATATATATATATTTAGATAAATATTTAAACGTGATAATTACTTCCGGCGACATAGACCATTTTTAAAGTCATTACACAAATATTCTCACATTAGTTTACTTGACAGCTATCTCGTCAAATATTCCACGTTCGAACCTTTTTATTTATGCGTAGACATTATTCAAACGCTTCGAGAAATGTATTGGTTTTCTAATGGTGTGTGATTTTTCATCTCAGTTAAATTTTTTTCGGATGATAAAAAATAGTGTAGCTGAAAGGGCTGATCGATTGAAGATAGAACATAAATGGTACTTATCATCTCTAATGTGTCGATTTGAATTTTTTTTTAAGTTATAAAAAAATATTATAAATGTTATTTAAAAACAACCATATTATATATAAATATATATATTACATCATATTGTGTAAAATTCACACCTTAACTAAATGGATTTTATTGTGTTTCATTATAATAATACTTATAAAATGCTAAATATTTGAAATCGTGTATGTAGTGGTTTATTTTTGGTTAAACGTAAAAATATTATGATCTTAAGTAATCAATACTAATCTCTTAAATAAAGTAAAATTCTTGGTTTGAAATTTATATTTTTTAATATAATCATTTTATCAGCCCAAATTTTTACTTTTATCTCCTAAAATTATTATCAATTCAACATTCGTTTTTGATTGCCGTAGATAATTTTCGATTTAAACATTATACATAACCTTCATTTTACCAATCTCTTTAAAATGTACTCTGCTGTAGATATGTAATAGTTGTGTAATAGTTCAACAGGTCGTTAAATCGAACTACAGCGAATTTGTTTGATACACGGTCGATTTCTCCTGACGTTCATATAGAAAGTAATAACGTATAACATGAGAAATATACATATTAAAAATATTATATGATATATAATGTGTCCATATACATTGTATATTTGTATAAATACAATATATTATATTTTACAACTATATACTATGAATACACTGAATAATATGACCATAATTTAATCCTGAAGTTTGAATTGACTATTAAAAGTGCTAAGAATCACTCACTCGGAGTATATTCGTACTTCGTTTGTATTTTTTTTTATTTCCCTCTGACATGACATGACATGATAAATCTTTAACATAGAATCTAAATGTTGTGCGTAATGTTGGTGATGATCTGTATACAAGTAATAAAACTTTGTTAGTAATGAGGTATAGAGGCGTCTTACGTGTCCAGTAGTAGTGTAGTATAACGGACTGTTTTTAATATCGACAATATAGTGGTGTACACTAGGTCGAGTATAATGTATCAAGGGTTCGTGATTTTAGAGAATACAAGATTGAGGATGATAATAAATACAACATTCTATAACAGGACGATGACGATGGTAGAACGCTGTAATGACATTAGTGTATGTGTGGTGACCTGTTTCACAGGTTTTAAAAAAGAAATAAAAAATTGAGTTCCAAAAAATACAAGCACACATCTAGGTTTTACTACATTTACTCTTTAGCACGCACGTACAACATGCGTGTAATAACTATAATATATTATTTTATGAGAGTGCAGTGCTATACTTCCTGGGTGGCTGCAGGTAGTTTAGTTCAGGGAGAGGGAGGAGTTAGGGATTGGAAAATAAAAATAAAAAATCATTAAGCCGATCGTTTCAGACACGGTAAAAGTGGCAAACGATGTATATATGGCTCCCTCTTTCTCTTTCTCTCTCACTCTTTCTCCCAGTCACTCCTCGCATAAACAATATGATACAAGTATATAATGGATTTCAAGAGTTTTTCTCGTCGCCCGTCGCACATTCGTTGCCGTTTTTAGTCGGGGTGCAGGTTAAACAAGGTGTGGCGGGAAGGATTAGGGATCGGGTGGCGACATCAGTATATCGTGATAGTTATAGTAGTAGTAGTAGTAGTAGGTGAAGCAGTAGTGACACATCGCGCTTCGGATGATGAATTTCATACGCTGCGTCATTGTTTTCCGACGGAAACTGACATTTTAATGGAATCGCCGCCACCTCTCCCGACGCTGGTTGTCCGACGACGGCTTTTTCTCGTTCGCCGGACGTGTGTTTTATCCGATGCTTTCCACCCATCACCATCCTCACGGTCGCACGCAAATCTACCCCTGGCATTAATGCATACCTGCGACCGTCATCGTTTCCTCCCGCTGCATTTGCCCATTTTGACGTGCAGGGATAATATCAATAATAATTATTATAATAACGGCAACGATCATTCCATAGTTTATGGGGAAGGGGGGGAAAAAAATAAAAATATTGCTCGGGTCTGAATAATTTTTTTTGGGGGAGAGGGAAAGGCCCCCTGTTCTGTGTCTCCCTGAAGTTAGTCTTTTGTGATTGATTTGAAATCGATGAATATTCATTCGCCGACAATAAACCGTAAGGACGTAGTTACGAAGGAATTTTCACATTTTCTGTGTCTTAAAAATGATCAATTTCAAGTTGATGTTTCTTGTTCCCTGATAAATGTCCGATCGAAGCTTCTATGTTGATAACTGTTGGCCCGTGAATGCATATTATTATTACTTTTATCATTATGAGCATGCATACGAGCCTCTTGACGTCTACAGGCATTTTTAACTGGATACCGAAGTCGTGGTGGGGAGCGATATGGACATATATATAATTATTATAATATTTAAACCCTCCATCCGACATTTCTTCTTGATGCGCTCATAAATTCGCATTTCCCCGCTCGCCAAATTCATTTGACCTTTAAATCTGTCCGTAAATATTCAATTTCGGTATGTTTTTTATGATATTTCATAAACAACTCATTGTTCGTTTGTTCACCTATCCATCCTACTCCTGTTACATACAGACCCTTGGGTTTATCCCAAGCGTTTGTTTTCACATAAAACGATAACGTTATTATTATAACTATTTTATTATGTTTACTCAATACAAATATAAACACTATCTGAGTGTCGTAGCTTCGTCGCTTTCGATTACTTTTTTTCTACTTTTCCAGAAATTCTAATAATCACGTCGTA